TGAATTTGGCTAATGGTTACAGTTATACAAAATGGGCTTTTCCTTATTATTTACATACTTTAGAAACTGGTGTTCCCAATGTATCTGTCCCCAGTTCCTTGCCACTAATGTACTTTTGGTCAAACAGGCTTTCAAGGAAAAATATCCCTGCAAGTTCAGCTTTGTTCAGAATGCTTCAGTCTTAAAGACTTCCTTTTAAATTCATCTTTAAGCACTGCATTCTAACCAGAAAAACTACATTTTTAGCTACTATTTAAATATGATGTGTGCCATATCTCAAATATTTTAACAAAATATGATCAAATATGTGGGCCCACTGTTTCCACTGTCTGTTCAAAGTAAAATACACTCTACACATCATCAGACAGGCTTTATACCAGTCAGATCAAATTGTAAATAGTTTTGGGTGATGTAAGAAAAATAATGACTGACTAGTTACAGGTCATCTAAACACTTTTGGTGAAACACTATCGCTCTTTACAAAAGAAAATGAATCGCACGTACTCTTCAGCGCATCCTGGTCTTATTCAAGGTAACATGCTTCCTCATCGTCCTCACCCTTTGCTTGTTGGCCTCCGTGTGTGGCTATCAAGAATCTGGGTCAAAGACATCAGGGGCTTAGCAGGGCCCTTGAATTTCAGCTCTGGAACAAACTCACCTATGGGAGATATTCTGATACAGATTTAAAAGTAGTCCCTCTCTCTTGACTTGTAGGTCAATCCAAGTGTTTTTATTTTATGGAATCTACTCTAAGTGATCAAGTCTCATCCTACTAGGGTAGTGACCACTCTATTTTGAAATTATCTTTGTTTTGCTAATCAATACTAATTGCAAATCAGCAATAGAAGTAATAAAATTGGAGACTCCACTCCCAGTGAGCAAGTTGGGAAATCTGAAGAGAGTACAAAAGTACATTATTCACTTGAAGTCACTGGGGACCTTTTAATGAGACATAGCTTTGTGGATGAACAAGGGGGAAGAGACCTGGAAAATAACTGCCCTGTTCTAGTCCCACATCCACAAAGGAGCCACAGGGTCTCAGTTAAGTTCTTTCTCTCCTCTTTGCGGTTGGGTTGTCTATGGCCACTTGAGTTTAAATGAATCATTAAGGCCAGGCAGGCTGACTCACGCCTGTACGCCCAACAATTTGGGAGGCCATGGTGGGCAGATCACTTGAGCTCAGGAGTTTGAGACCAGCCTGTGTAACATGGTGAAACCTCACCTCTAAAAATAATACAAAAATTAGCCGGGCATGGTGGTGTGTAACTGTGGTCCCAGATACTTGGGAGGTTGAGGTGGGAGGATTGCTTGAGTCAGTGAGGTCAAGGCTGCAGTGAGCCAACATCATGTAACTGCACTCCAGCCTGGGCAACAGAATAAGACCCTGATTTAAAATAAATAAATAAATAAATAAAAAATAAAATCATAATTAATGTAAAAGTACTCCAGAAATCATACATGTCCTCGAATAATGTTTTAAATAACATAAATGAACAATCAACATTAAAAATATTATACAGGAAAACATCAAGATTAAATTGGTTAATCAGTGAAAATGGCCAAAAACTTAAAAACATCAAACCCTTGTAGTCACACGGCAAAGATGTGTAGAAACAGTTATTCTCATGCAAATAACTGTCTAAACCAGTACAAGCTTTCCTGTGGGCAATGTGGCATGTGCATCAAATCACATTATGACGCAGCGACTTCAATTCTAGGTATTTATTGTAAGGAAATAATAAAAAATATTCACAATAATATTGAGTGGAATTTTTTGTACTCATATTTCTAATTGAGAAAACTTGAAAAATCTAAATGTTGTTTTTAAAACTGTAATAGGGAACTGATTAAATAAATTATAGTACAGCTCAAAAAGATTTAAAAATCCTCCATATGTAACAAAATGAGAAAATAGACATTATCTACTGTCCGGTAAAGAAGCAGCAAGGTACAAAAAGTATGTTGAACATGATCTCTAGTTTGGAAAACAGACGTTAGGACCAAAATATTAGCAGTGATTTTTCTGTAGATGAAAACAATAGTTTTTATTAACTTCATGTTTATTTTCCAACTTTTCTACAATGACTGTATCACTTTGTCATAAGAATAAAAGTTATATAAAAAGCACAAATTGTCTCCAAAAGAGATTTTACTTTTTGGTATCTTGTAAGCTAACAATTCAGTAATTAGCTTTCAATGGTATCCACTATCTTCAGATAAATTATAATAAAATAAATAAGAAATTTTCCCTCGGAAAAAAGCAGAAACCTTTATTTGCACGTACAGGTTTCTGAACATTTGGAAGTAAGTTAGACATGCTTTAGACTAAAGTTAATAGTTTTTCAAAGGCTGTCAACTATAGAAATGTCGGATCAGAAACGTTAGAATTTTTAATCACCTTTTTGCATACACTACCTAAAAAAGTTTGTTTCGCTTACATAAACCATTGTGTGTCATTATTTCACAGGTTTTATCTCTCTTTAAAAACTGACTACCTATCAAGCAACATCCTCACCCATTTTGGGGACTACCACAAACTTTAAAAAATTCTACATCTGAAGGAAAAAATACATGATTAGTTATTAACTCCAAGTCTCAAACTGCAAATATGAGTGCAAATCAGGGTGACACCTGCATGCACACGACAGCCACCAGGCCAAACGAGACAGCTGAACCCTCCCCGGCCTCCTTGCCAGCGTCCCACAGGCTGGGACAGGTGGTTGACTCTCTCCAGGTGGCCAGGGCCATTTTGTCCCCACATCACAGAAGAGGAAGATCTGTTCCCTGGGACCGCAGGAGGACTTAGGAGGCCGAGAGGACCCAGTGTCATGCGTGGAGTTCATTTGCTGGGACACACAAAACTACATGAAGGGAAGGGTGGACATGTTTCCTCGGACATCAGTGAAGGAAGGGGAAACGTGTCAAGTACATCTTCAGATTGTAGGTATCCCAATCCTTCCCTGGATTATTCAATCCATTCGTATCCTTACAAATTGAGTTTCTGTGTTACTAAGTATACCTGTATTCAATTGAAGTTGCTACAGAACCATAAAAACATCTTTCAACTTATTTTCTCAAATCCAGCAGACCATGGGGCGGCTACATTTTGCCATCCACAAGGGCTGCAGTGGGAGGTGAAGAGCAGCTCTGGATGCTCAGCTGCATCCCATGTCCCCCAGCACCATCCTGAAGCCTTGCCTCTAGCTCCCCACCCTGTAGGAGACGCCCTGCCTCTGGGTGACAGCAGAGATCCCCACCTGGGGCAGATCCCAAGGCCTGTAAGCAGGCATTCAGAGTGTGGTTCTGCAGCAAAAGCTTTTTGGACTCAAAGCCTAAGTTTAGTCATTTAGTTGTTTGTAAGCCATGTGGCCTTGGGTCCGTTCCTCAACCCTGCTGTGCCTGGCTCCTCACCTGTAAACTGAGCATGAAAGTAACAGAACCCACCGCGTCCAGTTGTGAGGAAGGAATGAGTTCATAGGTGTGAAGCACTTAGAATTAGTCCCGGGCACAGAGGAAGCACGTGACAAATACTTGTGGGAGTCGCCACGTTCATTATCACTTTCAGGGGTGTGATTAAGATAACCTAGTCTCCTATGCATTGATTGGGAAATTACGGTCAAGACAACATAGCAATACGGTTGGTGAGTTAGGAAGAAAAAAATTTAAAGGAAAACCCCAATTCTATGTCCATCCCCCAACGATCGGAACTCAAGTTGCCAGCCGCTTTAAAATGACTCAGTGCTTAGCTGCACACTGGGCCAGCGACCCCCTTCTGGGGAGCACTCACCTCCCTTTGTACCACTTCACCTGCTGCTGCTAACACTTTTGCTATAAGGGTGAAATCACATAATCACATGTTTGCGGGTTTGTGGTAAAATAAACATAACTTCAAAGGATTATTATGCAAAGCCCCCACACCACTACCATAAGCCTCATTGTTATTCTTCTCTGTCACCCCTTGAGCCCAAAGTACATAATCACCCAGTAATTGAACTGAAATGTCTAAATGGCTGAGGCTCCTAAAGGACATAGCTATTTACCAATGAAAAAAGTCAGAAAAATTTAGCAAACCTCCCTGGTGCTCTGCTGCGTTAGTACAAAAGCCTGTGTAAGTATGACCCACCTGGACCTGCTCCTCCTCCTCAAATCATTAATGGAAACAGAACAAGCCTTGCTGTCACTAGGCAATGTAAGAGAAATAATTAAAATATCACAATTGCTTAGCTGCTTCTGAACAGAGAGGTATAAGCTCTAACCTTTCTCAAGATATAATTTTATGAAAATGTAAGCAAAAGGCAGAAAAGTAAATTTTCCTGGTCATGTCATTTAGTGCTCCTGGGGCTGGGGGGAGAGGCCAGGGGGCCTCAATGTCAGTGCTTCCCTCGATACAGACTGGGCAGTGAGTTTGGGCTTCCAGGGATGGGGGTCACCCTGGAGGATGGGCGTTTTCATGGCAAGCATCCTGGCACTCTCAGTAGAGCCCGCCGTGCTCTAATCTGCAGAAAGAAGCCTCATTTCAAACACTGAATACAACAGCAGCCAGTTTTCTTTTTAAAATTGTAGATTTTTAAAAGCTCAGAAATCAGGTTTTCCTCTTTGGAGCAACACAGAACTAATTCCTGGGTCCTCGGGGTCTTTGCTGGTGGAGTACGCCCTACCCCTCTACACCCACCATTAAATCTCTGGATAGACACACAGGTTAATTACACATATTTTTAAATTCTGCAAAGGATTCTCTGAAGGACGCATCTCAGCCCACCTAAGTACAAAACAGCCATCACTCAATGGCTAAACTCGGCAATCCTTAGCACCCAGTGGAGTTAAAAATTTTAATTATCATTTTTTAAAGCACAATACTTATCATTTGAATGAAACATGTCAGCACACAAATCATGAAATGATGATTCTGAATAGAATTTTTGTTGGTTGATTGCATAAGCAATACCTCTTGTTGCTGAAATAACATCTCAAAGGCAAAATAATGACGACATGACAATCCGTGTAAATCAAGAACTGCATGTGGGTTTATTTTACATCTGAGAAAACAGTGGATTTAATTGTGTGAACCAAAATGTACTGTACAATATTAATGATAGAACATCAAAATGTATAATTAATAGTGCATTGCTTGCTTTGTTTTTATGTATTTATTTTTGTCTGACAGTCCCTCTGAGTACATGCATCTGGAGAGATGCAGGTGCCAGTAAAAGTCCTCTATTTAAATCAAGCTGCAGGAACTAAATTTTATTCAAAAATTGTGGTTTTACATTATATACACAGAAATTTAATATAAAATGACAATATAAAAAGTTAAAAGAGAAAGCATACAGCCAGAAGGTACAAAGAAAGTTGAAGAGATTAAAATGGTACGATATGTAACATACAGGAGTTTTTAAGCTGATGCTGGCAATTTACAAGGAAAGGACTCCAACGTTTGCCCCATTTTTTTTTCATTTACCAATGCAGCACGCTATAGAAAGGTCAGCTTGTACCAAAGCTTACATTTGTAAATAACTATAAACCGCAATATTTTACAGGAAAAAAGAAATAGCATTTTTACACATTTTTAAATAATAGCTTGCATACTTTTTTTTTTGTTTTTTGTTTTTTGTTTTGCCAAAAGTGGCATTTTTCAGCATCCAGAGGGTTTGGGCATAGTGGCGAGTGGGTATCTGTTGTTGTTTTTTGTTTTAGACATGTAGAGGTGTGGCTTCCAAACCCCGTGAGTCCTACACAGCTTTCTATCTTCCCACAGCTGCATGCATGTTTCCTCACAAACCAGTTCTGCATATAAAAGCTCATTTTTTAATTATTAAATAAGTTTTGTGTCTGACACAGCTTTTGATCTGAATGAAATGCCTTTAAGCCTTTTTTTCTTTTTTCTTTTTTTTTCAAGTGAAAGGCACAGAAATGCAATTACAGTCCTCAAAGGGTTAAATTTGACACTACCAGGTTCTATGACCTTTATTGTCATGGCAACTTCGTCATTTTAGGATGTCTTTTTACCATTGTTATTTGTGTCTTTCTTTACTGCTAAATAATGTCTCTGAGTAGTGTGCCCCACTATTTCCTACAAAAGATAGCTTCACATCAAGAACAGATGTTGAAAATAAAGGTCAGACTTTGACTCACAGTAAAAGAAAAATAACATGCACAGATCGGACAGAGGGCATATAAATATACAAAATATGTGTAAGAAAACCAAGGTCCAGAGAGGCGGGCCAGCAACAAAGGAAAGACTGATTTTAGAGGCTCAGGCCAGGCCTAGTGCAGCTCGACGACGTTTAGTGCAATGTTCCGCGGTCTCTTGCATACCTGGACGCTACTGTTTCTCCAACTCAGTCACATAGATCAGGTGGTCCTCGGGGGACTTGCCATGAGTCTTGCTAAGGTGCAGTTTGACTGCGTGCTTGCTGGCAAAAGTCCGGTTGCAGAGCTTACATTGGAATGTGGAGCCCAAGTCTTCCTCGGTGGCCCCCAGAGGGCCCAGAGTTTTGTTGGCGAGGACTTTGGAAACATTCTGCTGTTCTTGAATCTGATTGAGTGGCAGCTTGGATAGATCCTTCAGGCTGAAGCCCAAGTGCGTCTCCAAATGACTTATGTATGTAGACGCAGTTCTGAACTGAGAGGCACAATCGTTGCAAAAGAAAACAGGATGCCCTGTGTCCAGGTTCTTTAGGAATTTCGTTCCCCCTGTCCTCCTCAACTGGTACTTCACATTGGCCAGCCAGTGGCTGATGGTGGTCATGGAGAGGCCAGTAAACTTCGAGATGTGCACCCTCTCCTGGGGGCCCAGGTCCGACATGATGTACTTGCCCTCTGTGGTCTCCCGCAAGCTCGAGGCGAACTGGGCCTGCAGGATGAGCAGGTGCTGCGGGTTCCAGTTGGACTGCCGGCCCTTCCTCTTGTGGACGGGTGACAGCTCGTCCAGTGCCTCCTCAAAGCTGCTGCCATCAGCATCAGACTTCTCCGAAACGGTGGAGGGCGTGGAGGACTTGGGCGTCAGGCGGCCTGTGAGATTTTTCACCATGTCGGAGATGTCCATGAGCGCGCTCTCCCGCAGAGGTGACGCCACCGGATCGGCCATGCTGGACCCCAGCGGCTTGTTCTTGGACTTGGTTAAGTCAATGGGCTGGTCGCTGTTTTCGTAGTAGTAGCGGTCGATGGCGTCGGCCTGCTTCACGGGCGCGGCGGGGCGCGCCGGCCTGTCCAGCATGCTGTTGCTGATCTTGTAGAGCATGGCCAGCGGGTCCAGCGAGGCGCCCACAGGCTTGGACACCTTGCCCAGGTGGGTGTTCATGATGGACTGCAAAGCGCTCAGAGGGTTGATGAAGGAAGGCTCTGGCGAGTGGTCCGTGATGATCCCCAGGTTGTTACAGCCGTTGGTGACCTTTGCTTTGAGAGGCTCTGTGCCGTTTGGGGTGTGAACGTCCAGCGGTCCCTCCTTTTTGGCCTTCCCGGTCTCGGCCTCAGGGCCCTTCTTCTGTTGTTTGCCGCTGACTTCCTCCGTTTTAGGGAAATCTTTATTCTCTTTTGCTATGGGGGACGCAGCCTTGGCCGGGGAGCTCTTCTCCTTCTCAGGGGGCCTCTCCTCCTTCTTGATGCTGACCTTGCCCGTGACCTTCTCCACCAGCTCCTCCATGGCGGACACATTGCTCTTGTGCGGTGGGGGCGTGAGGCTCCCCGGGGAGTGCAGGAGAGCGTTGTGCTCGGTGGAAGACAGCGACTTCACGCCGCCAGCATAGGACGGCTGCACCTGCACACTCTGCACGGCCGCGGGGAGTGGCTTCACGGTGCCCGGCAGCTGGTAGGCCGCGTGGATGCTGGGGTAACCACCCCACGAGGGCGCGCCATTCTGGGCTTTGCTAATGGCCGTGGAGACGGTATTCTCCAGGGACTTGAGAATGTCCAGCCCTCCCTTGGGGCTGTCGTCCAGGTCCTCCTCGCGCAGGTACGGGTACAGGGTGCTGGGCTCAAATTTCTCCGAGCTGTCCTCACTCTCCTCCTTGATCTTCTCCGCGTCACCAGCCATGGGCGGCTTCTCCTTCTCCGGCTCTTTCTTGTCTTCTGAAGCTGTGGACCCCGCGGGAGACTCGGGCTGCTTTTTGATGCTGGAGGCCGGCAGCCGCGTGTGGGTGGTGGGCGGCAGGGGGATGGACTGGATCTTCTCTTCCACCACGGGGTCCAGCACCAGCTGCTTGCCCTTCTTTGAGGCGGAGGTGGTCACTTTCAGGAAGTGCCCGGTGACCATCATGTGGGCGGTGAGCTGCTGCAGGGTGTCGTGGGAGCTGCCGCACTCCATGCACTTGAGGATCTGCGCCTTGCGGGCCTCGAACTGCCAGGTGTAGCTGGCACCGTTCTGGTAGCCATAGCGGTTATTGGGTGTGACGTATGGGTTCGCCGCTTTCTGATCCTTGGCTGACTCACTCAGGGCCACCTCTGCGGCCATTCCTGCTGGCTCAGGGGAGCAGGGGGGCGCCAGGTCCTGAAGCGCCCGCTTTTTGGTGGAGGGGACCAGTTTGGTGATGGCTGGCACTGGCTCCTTCAGAGGCACTTTCTGGTAATGCTTGGTTTTGATCATGTGGACGCTGAGGTCCTGCAAGGACTCGAAGGAGTGTCCACAGTACATGCACTTCAGCACCTTCTGGGCGTCCTCCTTCCCCTCCATCTCCATCAGGGAGCGCTTCCTGGGCTTGGACCACCGCTTGGTCTTCTCGGAGTCCTTGTCCCTGTTGTCATCACGGTAGTGGCCTGTCTCGTTCATGTGCACCGTCAGTTCCACCAGCGTGTCGTACGCGGCACTGCAGTCTTTGCACCGGAACTTGCTGGCGCCGGTGAAGACGGAGCCGTAGAGCTTGTTGTTCTGGCGGTAGAGCTGCACGGTGCTGAACAGGCTGGGCTCGGGGAGCAGCCCATACGAGGACGTCTGCTGCAGCGTCTTGGCCAGTGCGGCCTGGTGCCAGTCGTACCCCGAGCTGCTGCTGGTACTGGTGGTACTGCTGTGGCTGGTGCTGGAGCTGCAGCTGGTGCTGGGCGTGCTCGCCGTGGGGCCGGCGGTGCTGGCGGGGCAGACGGGGGGCGTGGGGGTGGGGGCGGAGCTCTCCTTCTGGCTGGCATCGTTGGTGCTGGTGGTGGAACCCGACTTCTTTAAATCCAGAGCTAAGCTGGACCAGCAGGACTCAGAGAACAAGTTTGCATACACAGCTTTGATCTGTGCCAGGCTGTCCTGGGGGTACGAGACGCTGTCGGGACACTGCGGATCCTCCTTCTCTTCTCGAGAGGAAGAGCCTTTGAAATGGGCCAGCTGGTCGCTGCTCTCACTGAAGGGCGACCCGTAGCCGGGGTCCTGGTTAGTCGCAGAGCTGACTGGGGAGTTCTGGTAGCTCTGCACCTCTTTGATCTCTGTCTCTTCATTGCACATGTACTCACTTTCCTGAATGTCCAAAGACAGCCCGTCATCCTCCACGTGCTCTTCATCTATTTCTGCTGCCTTCAATTCTTCCTCAGGAACATAAGCTAGGAGAGAAAAGTAAAACCCAGTTAGAAGAAGTAAATCATCTTCAAGGACGCAGCCTCCCCAGCAGTTAGATGATTTTTAAAAAGATGTTTGTCAGCCTAGCTCCCAAGACACAAGGCTACCCCAAGTTTACGTATCTACCCCTTTGTAGGAGTTAGGTTTCAAAAGGTGCTGTCCCCTTCTGAGTGTGTCTTTAGCAAAGGGGACTGAACTGGAGGATGGTATCCTGTGCTCCTCCCAAAGATGTCAGTTTGACCCTTGCAGCCTGGTGGGAAGGGCAGGAACTTGGGACTCCAGCTACCACCCGCCAAGTACCCCTCCTATCAGCTGTTCCCTCCTAAGTGACCCAGGAGTCCCCTCATGACTTCCACACGGCAAATACTTGTAAATACCCATCGGGCAGGACCTGGTTATCAATTTTCAGAGCAGGATATTCACAGACAGTATTATATCGTTCCCATAAATAAAAACACTCCTCAATGGCAAGCAATGAAAACACTCTGGTCTTCAGCAAAAGCAAGAACCCAATATGGCACCGCCAATCCCCTGCCTGGGCAGAGTAAAGCGCCACCCTCATGGGGCTGCTAGATGGCAAAAGCCATGGTTGTTCACCAAGGCCCAGAGCAGCCTCACTGACTGCAGCCAAAAGCTGGAAGGCACCAAAATGTCCACTGATGGTTGGAGGGATGAACACGGTGTAGCGTTTCGTCTGTGCAGCAGCCTCCAGGCACCTGTGGCCGGGGGCAGAGGCACACACAGCAGTGGGCCAGCAGTGACGGGCTCCCCAAACTGAGCAGATCCAAGTCAAGCGAAACGTTTCCTTTGCATTAGTGGCCATGAAACTCCCTTTCACAAAGATGGGTTGATGAAAACCCTGAGGCACTTTCCTGTAGTGGATCCTGATAGAAGGGCCTCCCGCACACAGTGGGAGGGGCCTGGGGCCAAGGCCAGCGCATGCTCAGGCCTGCCAACATCGTAAACCTGGGCCTTCTGCTTCCTTCAGAGGGCAGAACATCACTCAGGCTTGGAAAGGGAGTTCTGATACGCACTGCAGCCTGGATGCACCTCGAGGGCACAGTGCTCAGTGAAGGGAGCCGGTCACAAGAGGACACGTACTGCACGGCTCGCCTCACGTGAGGGCCCTAGAACTGTCACATTCATAGAAAAAGAAAGCAGAATGGTGGTGGGTGCCAGGAGAAGGAGGGGATGGGGACAGAGTTTCCATCTGGGAAGATGAGAAAGTTCCGGAGATGGAGGGTGGTGATGGCTGCACAACAATATGAACATTCTTAACGCCATGAAACTGTGCACTTAAAATGGTTAAAATGGTCACTTATACGTTATAAATATTTTATCACAATAAAAGCTGTTTAATTACAAAAGCCCAACGGTCCACGCTCCATCCGCCGACTACAGGTCCACAACCGCGCAGCAGAGCGACCTCATGGGCTGAAGGCAGCGTTTCCCAGAGGGGCCTCCGGGATACAGCAGTTGTCCCATGGATGAGGCTGGAGGGCACAGAAACCGAGATGCAACCTGGACTTGTGACTGCAGGACATGTCAGATCCTTTACTGCACAACCCACCTTCCCAACTCCCAAGGGAGACTGCTGCAAGGAACACCGCCTCAGCTTCTTTGACCAAGGCACTTTTACTTACTTTTCCCATCTGAGGGAACAACTAGCTGGACTAGAGTTCCATCAACAACTTAGGATATTTGGGGTTCAGATATTTTGCAGAAAGTCCCTAGTAAAATGCATTGATCTGACCTAAGAAGGGTGTCTCATTAAACATCATTATTCACGATCACATCATCAGAGCCAGGGCCCAAGGGAACACGACCATGAGGACACACATTTTCAGGCAGGACTGCTGGGAGGGACAGAAAACATCTTGGCTGCCCAAAGGGAGGATGCCAGGGGCAGTGGGGAGCAGTGTGAGAGCCTCAACACCTGCAAATGTAGGGCTTCAGATTCTAGTGGCAGCCACCACTCACAGGCACACGCACAATCGCACGCATACACACAAGCACACGCACACACACGCACAATGAGAGACGACTGAATCGGTCATGTGGAGAGTCTCTTCTAGCTCAGGCCGTCCCGAGTGCTTGCACGCACTGCCCTTTCTGCACACAGCCTCAACTCCACCTCTAGTGAGAGCATAAGACAATCTGCGCACCTGTGTTCACGCGTTTCACAGCAGTATGCGGAACAGCAGCAAATCCACGATTCACGATTCTGTTCACACTGTGCTGTGATTGTGGAAAATAACCAATCATGTAAGACCTCAGGCCTCAACTATAGGCATCAACATCTGGGGAATGTTCTAGATGATACTATGACTCCCCTGTAAAATATAACACTCAAAATTAAAAGATAATTGCTAAGTTCAGGCACACTGTCATTCGCCCCTAATTATTAAAGGTTTAGGATGGCCCAGTTCTGAGGGTTCACTGCTGGGACCTGGGAACCCTACTTTAAGAACCACTGGTCAGACTCGTCACCTTTGAACCAGCCTGGCCTGGGTCATGTTGGCTTGGGCCACAAGGTGCAGCTCCTCTGTGTACTCGGAAGGTGACTCTGAAGGCTGCAGGGTGTGCTGGGCAGGGCAACGCCCGGGAGAGGCAGAAGGCCCAGGTTTACGATGTTGACAGGCCTGAGCACGCACTGGCCTTGGCCCCAGGCCCCTCTCACTGTGTGAGGGAAGCTCTTCTATCAGGATCCACTACAGGAAAGTGCCTCATGGCTTTCATCAACCCATCTTTGTGAAAGGGAGTTTCACAGCCACTAACGCAAAGGAAACGTTTTGCTTGACTTGGATCTGCTCAGTTTGGGGAGCCCGTCACTGCTGGCCCACTGCTGTGTGTGCCTCTGCCCCCGGCCACAGGTGCCTGGAGGCTGCTGCACGGACTAAACGAGCCCTCCCACAGCCCACCCCACAGCAGGCAGCCAACCTGTGTGCGCTAATAAGTGACTTTGTGTTCGTTGGCTTGGGTTACCATATCCACATACAGTAGACTGGCTGGCTTGACCAACAGAACTTCCTTTCTCCCAGTCCTGGAGGCTGGAAGTCCCAGGTTAAGGTCTGGCAGGGTTTGCTTTCTGGTGAGGCCTCTCCCTGGCTTGAGGATGGCAGCTCTCTCCCTGAATGGCTCTTCCTTCCAGCAGGTGGAAAGAGAGAGCTCTTCCACTTCCTCTAAGGTCACCTCTGTTGGACAAGGGCCCTGTGACCCCATTTAACATTAATTACTTCCTAAAGGCCCCTTCTCCAAATACAGCCCCAGTGGGAGTCAGGGCTTCCACATACGAATGAAGGGGACACAATTCCGTGCACGGCAGGCTTCTGTCTCAACTCTGAAAACACAGAAATGGGAAACCTGCTCTCACACCTCTAGGGTGTGTTCAACACTGACCAATCCTCGTCCTCTTGCTTGGAGCGGGCGCCCACAAAGGATGAGGGTCAGGAGTCAGGGCTGCGTCTCAGGACCTGGCCCGGCATCTCAGGACCGCATGGTGATGGCCTCCTCCCGGACCATCCTGCACCCTCACGCTCCCAGCAGGTGCAAAGCGTCATCCAGACCAGGCTCCACTCGGCCGTCCTCCAAAACAGTTCATTCTGCACCCAGGAAGTTCCCAGGCTGAGCTACAATGTATCTCACTGCCAATCTGGTTCAGAACAGATTGGACCTCACAGATCACAGAATGAGAAGGCCCTCCCAAGAGGTCATCTTCCCAGCACGCCATTTTCTTGCGCAGATGTCCACGGCCCTGTGTGGGCTCCAGGGGGTGCGGACGTGGAAGGAGGGGGTCCATAAAGTCCCTGCCCTAGGGACAGGGACTCATGTCCCAGGGAAGAAGCAAAGCAGGGTGATCAGGCAGCCTGTGGCCGGGTAGGGGAGGGACACTTTTGGAAGGGAGGGAACTCCAGTGTGGACCAGGGTGAAGGCTGGGCCCCCACAGGTTCAGGCTCTCCCTGCCCGTGCCTAGCATGCCCACCTTCCAGATGCCATCTGGAGGCAGCTTCTCACTCCCCACCCGGTTGCACCTGTGAGCAGCATGTGGCCCTGTCCGTTTCTGGACCCTCGGTGCCCGCTTCCCCCTCTCTGTTCTGAACTGCCGCATCCCCAGGTCGGCCTGCTGCTCTTGCCCATTCTTACCACAGCCTCTCTCTGGCCAGTCTCACTGTCTCCACAACCCCAGTGCCTGTGCTCACCACAGCCATGGGCACCCCTGCACACCTGCCAGACATAGGCCCATCAGGGAGGACGCCTGTCCTGCTGCCCCCATGGTGCTTTCAGGTCCTGGCCCCACGTCAGGCCCATGGAAGGAACCCCACTGTTCTAACACAGATCTAAAGTGACACGGGTACTCCACATCACACCTACGTTGTGTGCAAACAATGACACCCCACCGCCCGCTCCAGCACTGTCCTCCTCATAACAACAGCTCACTTTCTCCTCCTTCTGAACCTCCAGATTCAGATGTTACCGAATAACCCTAAACGAGAGTATCTGAGCCAGAAAAGCAGCGCGATCCTCAAAGCCTCCTGGTCCTTGGGCCCCGCATCCAAACTGGCCCTGCACTGATGACCAGCTGTGGCCAGAGCCTTCCAATGTCCCCCAACGGACGTCCCTCCACTCCTGGTCTGTGACATTCTCCCTTCCAGCAGACACTGTGCTCTCAACAACCCTGAGTTCAAGCCTTTGTTGAAGCTGTGTGTCCCAGGCAGGGTATCTGGACCCTCACTGCTGCCCCGCCTGTGCCCAGCCCTCCATGCCCAGCCCGCTCTATCTGGTCCCAGGCAGCCCTTCTTCCACAGGGGAGTGCCCAGTCTGGATGCCAGCCCTCCCCCCCGCTCTGCCTGTGTGAGCTACTGGGCCCTCTCTCATCCCTCCAGGGAGGCTCAAAGGTCATCTCCTTATGCCACCCTCTCAACCCCCTCACAAAATTCACCACTCCTGGAAGAATCTGAGCTGTTACCTGTCTGTCCTCTTCATC